GGTGCCGTAATTGTACCCAATTAATTGAGGTAGTAAATGACTTAAAGGTAACGATTGTAGCACTAAAAGCGGATATTGAAGCGTAGAGGGCAACTGTGAACCAATAAACCAATTCTTCCACATTTACAGAAACACATTTTGAAGAAGCCGTGCAGGAAATGGCCGAAAGATCGCACTGAAAGGAAATGCCTAGATACTAATGAAGTAAAACAAATTTTAAAGTTTGTATCTCCAAACGTTGACCTATCTATGATTGAGTCTCCTATTAGATTGGAAAAATAGCATCCGTGCAAAAGCGGCTAAATCCATTTTATTCAGTTTTTGTTTTTTTTTTGATTTCGCATCTTTGGGTTCATTTCTATCGACAACCAAGATAATTTATACCACACGACAACCAAGATAATTTCCGACTAAATCCATGTTAAAATCACATTTAAAAGGTAGCTTTTGGAGCAAAACCGGCCAAATCCACGTTTTTATAGCAAACCCGGCTATATCCAATAAATAATAATATGTGGCTTGGATATGTCGATACTACTACTAAAATTTGTTCTGTTTTTTCATGTTTGCACTAAATTTATTTTGTTAATATTTTTGAATAATAAAGGTTTTTTTCACATTTTATTCGTTTTTCGAGCAAAACCGGCTGTATCCAAAACATTTATGAAATTTTGGCCTTAATATAAAGTTTTTGAAAAGTATGTCTTATAAATCAAGTACCACAAAGCCCACAAAACTCAAGTTTGCTTTTTCTTTTATCTGTAAAGGCCAGGAAACCGAGAGTTTTTGCCATTTTCCCAACATTTTATTAAGTGGATATAGCCGGTTTTGCACGGATTTTGCTCCTCAATTAAGGTTAGATTGCATACGACGCAGCTATCACTATCCTGAAGAATTCTAGCAGTTTAAAAAATAATGGTAGTTATCGTAACATTGTTATCGTGAATGATACAACTGCACGGTAGATTAAGTACTACAAGACCCTTAAAGAGAAACTGGACCATAGAAAAGAGAATGGTGAAACGAATCTAAAAATTAAATATAACCGAGGCATCCCACAAATTGTGTCTTTAAACTGAAACTGCCCAACTGTGAATATACCATAAATTTCCAAAATATTCGAGGACTTGGTACAAAAGTGACTGATTTTTATTCCGTTATGTGCAGTTGGGACTACGATTTTGTGCTTTTAGTGGAAACATGGCTCTCGGATAATATTGGTAGTGCGGAACTTTTTCCTAAAAACTATAAAGTCTTTAGATAAGGCCGTGATTTCTCACACCAACTTAACACGCGGAGTTAAATTTAGGTAACTTAAGGGCGGCTTTTCCGCATATTGATATACTAGGATGGAAATGCGTAATTAATTCTACTAATTTGTTTATTTATGTGTTATATGTCCCACCTCATATCTCGGTGGCCGATTTTGAAGTATTTGTCGAATGTCTCGAAGAGTTAACAGGGAATCAAGCTAATAATGTGATAATCGCGGGCGACTTTAATGTTAGAACCTTTGTTGACAAGACTTATGATGTAAAATCTTGATCTATTACCGATATGATGAACTTCTTAGATCTTAGGCAGTATAATGATGTGGTAAACTACCCAAATCGTCTTTTGGATTTAGTTTTTTCAAATATGGTTTGCGCTATCCACCATGAAGATCTACCATTGGTAACTGAGGATGTATACCATCCAGCACTTAGTATAAAAATAAACCTTAGGGATTCTAATGTGGCTCATGCATTTCCAATTCTTAATTCTGACAAAAGGTATAATTTTAAAAATGCAGATTTTCCAGCTCTATACGCTTCTATTCTAGAAATTGATTGGTCCAGTATTATAAATTGTGTCGATATTAGCCTAGCTTTAAACATTTTCTATGATAATCTATACAAAATTTTTGATAAACATGTACCTACATTTACTAATCGCAATAAGAATAAATATCCTAAATGTTATACAAGGGAAATTATAAAAAATATAAGATTAAAATCATCCTTTTTTAATAAATACAAAAAATTTCACAACGACTCGGACTTAAATAAATTTAAAAAACTTCAAAAATCAAATATCTACTGCTTACTTCACCTATACGGTATAGGCTATACCGTACCTTCATTTGCAAGCTAACCATAGGGAAAATACATTGTAACTGGACCATATAAGTCTTAGTCAGCACGAAGCGAAAAACGTTGTAGAAATGATTTGGACGCGTGGACGAGTAAGCTAGCATGCGCCGTAACAGTTGACCTTGCTTCATACATCGATGCTTTATTATTGTTTTGTATTTTATGCGGTGTAAATCTGGTAAAATTTGCTTTAGTACGCATGTCTCGACGACGCATCCAAATCATTTCTGAGAAGGTTCTCGCTTTGTGTTGACTGCGAGTTATCTGGTCCAATTACAATGTATTTTCCCTATGGTTAGCTTGCAAATGAAGGTACGGTATACGCAATACTGAAAGTAATATATCTTAAATCCTAAATTATTTTGGTCGTATATTCGCTCAAAAAAAGGAGCCACCTGTATTCCAAATAAAATGACAAACTGTGGCGGTATTGTATTGGATACACCTTAATCAATTGTCGATGGTTTTGCCATCCAGTCAACCAATTAGTCATAATTTTCATAGCAACTATCCCTGCATATCTATAGATAATATTGATGACAGTGAAGTTATTAAAACAATTAAATCGTTAAAAAACTGCCACTCTGTAGGCCACGACCAAATACCTGTATTTTTCATCAAAGACTGTGCACATACCTAGCTTCCCCTCTAACCCATATTCTCAATCTCTCCCTTAAATATTCAACGTTTCCTAATGCGTGGAAAACTGCCAGGCTCTTACCAATTTTGAAAAGTGGCGATTCGTCCAATCTATTAAACTACAGGCCTATAGCAATACTGTCTAACTTGTCAAAGGTATTTGAGGTAATATTATCAAATCATATCAGAAGCCAAGTAAATTCTGTTATTACACCCTTTCAGCACGGGTTTATGCCCAAAAGATCCACATTGACAAACTTGACTATAATTACGGAATTCTTGTCTGAACATCTAGATACCAAAGGCCAAGTAGATATTGTTTCTACAGATTTTGCTAAGGCCTTCGATTCAATAGATCATAATATCATTCTCTTAAAGTTAAGTAAAATAGGATGTGCTGCAAATCTTATTAAACTTATACAATCTTATTTAAAATATAGAGCAATGTATGTCTCATTAAATGGGTTTAAATCTAGTGTATTGTTCCCACTTCAGGGGTCCTTCAAGGTCGAATCTTAGACCATTACTTTTTGTAATTTTTATCAACGACATTCTTAATGGTATTGACTGCCGTGGATTACTTTTTGCAGACGATTTAAAACTGTACAGTCCCATAAGAACTTTAGACGATTGCTTGTCACTTCAAGTCCAACTTGATAAATTATTTAAGTGGTGTTCTGAAAATAAACTGGGTCTTAACATATCAAAATGTAAAATACTATCATTTACCCGGAAGCTAAACCCTATTATTTTAATTATTGTTAGTTTTATTTATAATTTAAAATTTAGATGCAATTCATGTTAGGAGAAATGTCAGAACTGTTAAAAATATTTCATAAATATTATTTGTGCGTATTTATTTTCTGATTTTAAAAAGTTTGCTAGTTTGATTTTAAACTTTTTAAAACATTTCAAATCGATATCTTTTGCCGTTCCTTCGAAACTCTCAATGGACCACGAACGTGAAACACCCTTATTTCGTAATTGTGCAACACCCTGTATATAATTAAAAAAATTTTAAAATAAATAAATAATTTTAATAGTTGTCCATTTATTTACTGAATAAATTTTTCAAAAAAATATACAGTGTATCTGTTATCAAAGATGTTATATTATGTGCCGAATACCGTGGATAAAATTTTATTGGATCGCACTTAAAAAAAATGACGTGATCTGAAAAAACGCCGAGACACGGGCATCATTTTTTTAAGTCTATTTTCAAAATCTATAGGAATTTTTCATGGGAGGGAAAAAATCAAATTTTGCCGTACTGTGTTATATTAGATGGGGCCGCACCTTTATATTCGATTTTTCGTATTATTGGGCTTTTGACCGCGAATCACTGAAATAGATTTATTTAATAATAATTATTAGTAATAAGTAATAATAATAAAAGAAACGTTATTTATACCCTACAAACTTTTACCCCTGGCTTTAGCTTTGGCTGTAGGTTAAGCGTTTACGTACGTTATAAACATGTTCTATCATTGCAAAATTACATTTTGGACAAGGTTTTATAATGATTATTTTCCCAACTTTTAATATTCCTATCATCTAATAAAAAGTCAAACAAGTTTAAATTAATAGTTTTTATTATGCATTATTATTTTAAACGTGTATCCCTGCTTAAAATACCTATACAAAATAATCTATCGGGCGCTACCGGATTCAATATGTGCATTTGTCCATGGTTTTTTCCGGATACAGCCCGATAGAAAATGTATAGGAAATTACCTATAGGCACACCATAACTTTTACATTTTCCCTATTGAGACCGATAGCAAATAACTCAATGAAGGATATATAGGGATATCCCTATAGAGCAACCATAAAACATTTGACAAAATTTTATTAAAACCTATGGGGTCCTATGGGGGAAAAACTCATTTCTACATTTATGTGTATTTTTCCCATTGAAACCAATAGCAAATAAATCAAGGGTGGATATCCCTATAGAACAACCATAAATCCCAACTATGGGTCCTATACATACCGATACACCCTATAGAAACACCATACATTCCGATACATAGGGTCTCTATGGGGTATTTTAAGCAGGGATATTATAAATTGTTTACAAAAACAAATAGTACCAATATTAAGTGCAAAACTGTTGTTTGCGTTTTCTTTTTATATATTTTTAACCCCTATGGGTTATATAAATTAAAACAAATACAAATTTATAACTTAAATAGGTTTTTAATTTAAAAAATTATTATCAGAACATACCTTAAATCTTTCTTTAAGTTTAACATATCCATCGCCGGCAAAGAATGTTCCATATTCAACATTGTCTGAACATGGAGTAACATTATGTTCTTCGGGGTTTTCCATTGGTTTTCCATTCATCCGAAGATATTGTACACATCCCGAGAATGTATTTGTTATATTCTAAAACATTTAATTTTTTGTTTGCGTGCACCGTACTGTATTTGCAGAAGTTTTTAGAAGATCACGCGTGATCTTCTAAAAACTTCTGCAAATACAGTACGGTGAATACTTGAGTTTAGATAATTAAAAAGGTTTTAGGTACCACTAACATTTAAAATTGGTTAAAAGTGAGGTTAAACATTTGACAGATGTCAGGATTTATTTATATAATTTTAAAAATCAGTAGATAAAGTAGAGTATTACACTCGAGATTATGTGCATTATTCACTCGCACTCGGACTCGAGGCGCAAATCTCAGTCTCGTAAATAGTATCCTGCATTATCTCTCTTATAATAATATAATAATAATAATAATAAAAATCTTTATTGTAAATACATACCAAAGGTAGAAGTTCAGCTATTATACTATTATTATATCTGTACAGGGTGATCCCCTATAATGTCGCCCCCTTTAACTTTTTTGTTTTAAGTGTTTTAAAATGTAAAATTTAAAAGTGAGGGTATGTAGGTACTAAAAAATACTTTTTTTCTACGTATAAAAAAAATTAGAAAATTGATCAGTTTACAGGGAAAAAAAAGTTTATTTTTCCTTAATGAAGAACACTATATATGAATTTATTTTTCGATTCCTTGTAAAATTCCAAACATAAACCATATTGTTAAGCATATACCTAAATTCAAACGTTTCTGAAATATTCGCATTTGAATCGTTATCATTAAATAGTATGAGTATGAGTATGAGAATAAGAACGTATGGCAGGCCCCATTGGCAACGCCTTAGACTGATCTTCCAGGGTTATTTTACCCCTTTCGGTTCTCCTACGTATCCCGCCACAGCACAGCTTTACCTGTGTTTGGTGGATCAGAATTTTCACCCCGGCAGGTAAATCTTTCCTAGGAGATCGTGGATGACAGTGTCGATGGTTAAGGCCACTCCCGGAATTTTGTCGCCGGGTCGGACCATAAGCCCGATATAGGCTAGTGGAGTGTAGGACAAGGAGGGAAATTTTTACAATTAAGTACAATCCGGACTCCCCTTCAACCAGGGTTTTAGTAATAACCCCATTCATTTATGGTTAATGCATGCTGATTTTTAAGTACTTCCTGTTCGTCTGTATCCTTCTCTGTCCGGGTCATATTCCCAGCTTGTTAATTATCTATAACGTTGCACCCATAAAAACAATACTATTCTTAGTAGTACCTATTCTATGTTTGCACTTCGGTTGGTTACCCAATTTATGGTCCCCTAAATGACTTAGTAATCTAGAGATGTTTATTTCTTTAGGATGAGTTTCTTTTGCTTAGTGTTTATCTGAACTTGAGTGATTAATGAATTCATATGTGTGTCCTTGTGTTTATAGTTTTTTGACTATGATGCTTTTTTTAAACTGATTGCGACTAATTAATTTTACCTGGTGGATTCTTTGTTAGTTAAAGATTGCGGATTTCGTATTAAAAATTAGTATTATTATAATTTGGGAATTATATGGTCATGCAATTTTAGTACATTATACTTATCTGATGTATGCAGACTTGGACTTCGGGTAAATTTCAAGGCAGGTGTGATGAAATTGTTCCTTAACCCCGAGCGCCCACTTTAGCACGTGTGGTAGTCAAGGAAATTATTCGTTGAAACTGATCGTCTCACTTAAACCTTTGTCCATAGGTAAAACACTTAGGGGTTAATCCAGGGGGAGCTACCACACGCAATTTGCACTCTTTTTGCACTTGGATCTGGTATATCACGTGTATAATCGTTATTAATTTTTTAATTTTTGAACAACTTTAGCCGGGTTGGCACTATGGAAGTACGAGCGCGTTAAGCCTCAGAATAACAAAATGTTTTATTGAAAATAAATAACTATAGTGACATTATGTCAATATGTTTTGTGAATTAAGTAAAAATGGCGTACTCAGACAGGTAAAGACAAACAATTTTAATTTATTATCTTAAAAATATTTCATAAACGGTTGAATTTAGGTATATGGTATGTTATATGAATTATGCTTAAAATTTTACAAGGAATGGAAAAATAAATTCATATGCAGGGTGTCACCTAATAAATTGTCATCCTTTGGGAGGATGATAGTACACGCCAAAACAAGACAAAACAAGTTTTTCCTCTATCATTTTTGCATTAGAGCTTCTGTTTTTTAATAAAAAAAATTATGAAATTTTTTTTTAAAAAACCAGGGAGCCACTGGATGTCACTGACCTATCCTATACCGTACCTTCATTTGCAAGCTAACCATAGGGAAAATACATTGTAACTGGACCAGATAAGTCGCAGTCAACACAAAGCGAGAATCTTCTCAGAAATTATTTGGATGCGTCGTCGAGACATGCGTACTTTAACCTCTAAAAACAATGATATTATTCATCCAAGCAAAATATAAACAGGTATGCGCACAGTGTATTATGTAATATCAAGCAAACTTTTAAACCTATTTAGTACTTTGTTATCATTGATTACTGATAGTTCGGTTGTTATTGTGATTTCTCTGGGGCAACAGTTTAGTCTACCAAAGCGAAGTTGACACAATATAACAACTCCGCAAACTTGTCACTGCAGCGGCAGATGAAATCTGAAATCATCTGGATACTTTGTGTGGATAATAACGGCTGGATAGTTGAACATTTATTATAATTTAAAAAAAAACACTTGAAAACCACGGAAACTTCGAGATACCTAACAATAAGTATTGTTTTTATCCAAAGTACCTAAAAATATAGCTGAGTATGCAAAAAAAAAACAATTATCAACAAGTATGAATGATAACACAAATTTAAATTTTTAATAAATGTAGAGTACCTATTGCCCAGTGACGGATGAAAATTTCTACTTTACTTTAATTTTAATGGTTTTTTTTTATTAAAAAAAATGGCACTAATGCAAAAATGATAAAGGAAAAACTTTCTTATTTTGGCGTGTACTATCATCCCCTTAAAGAATGACAACTTATTTGGTGACACCCTGTATAGGGTGATCCATTGAGAAAAAATAAACTTTTTGTTTTTTCCTGTATAGGTACTGATCAATTTTCCATTTATTTTTATACGTAGTATTTTTTAGTTTCTACATAACCACACTTTTAAACTTTTTGGGACACTTAAATAAAAAAAAAAGTTAAAGGGAGGCGACATTACAGGGAATCACCCTGTTCATACCGGTACATACCTAAGTAAGCGGTGGAAATGTACTCGAAAGCATACAGGATATATTGGCAAACCTTGCTTGTGAATTTTTTAATGGTTTAAGTATGTATTGGAAATAACTTCAAACCTTTTTAGATTAAACAATATTTTTTAAATGAAAATTAACTTTTTAAGATAATAATAACACAAATAAATATGGAAACATGAAATATGGATAATGATTAAGTTCTGGGATAAAGAAATAAATATTATTATTATTTTCTTTGAAAAATTTTAAATAAGTAAAAATTAAGACTTATAAAAGTTTTAAGAGTTTTAAAAGTCTTACTTTCTTTTAAAAACTTAGAATAAGATTTATTAAGTCAGAAAACCTCAGAATAACACTTATTAAGTCGGACTTATAGCAAGATTTGGGAATCTTCTGGAAAAGATATTAACTTAATAAGACTTTCAGCAGAGAAATGGTAGGTACCTATAGCGATAAAAATAAAAATTCGGAATTATTCAAAGATATTTGGTTATTGTAAAATAAAACAAAAAGAAGTATTTATTAACATTTTTTCTGTGTTGTTATAAGCCAAGTTTATTGCAGGTCATCACAAAAACACAGTCGACACATAGGTAGGTACGTCTCTTGTAGAATACATAAAATGCCCTTGTTGTATAGATAACGTGTAATAAATATATCAATAATTATTATAATTTTTGCAATGCATACGATGTGCTTGACTTGCTTTCATTGTTGCCACTGTACTTTGTATTGTGTACTGGGCGACTGTAAACACAATATCGATTTTCTTAGCTGACCAATTAGATCACAGCTGACCGTCATGTAAATGCGTTTTCTAGACAGTGTTGAGCGATTTATCGCCAAATGAGCGATTTAAGAACCGCCAATGCGACTAAAAATTTTAAATTGACAATTGGCGACAAAATGGGCTAATTTAATGTTTCTATACATACATATATGTATATATGCAAGGTAAGATTATTTTTTCAAAAAATAATATCTTCATATAGATATATAGTTATATAGTTATAGATATAACCTCCTTAGAAAAAAAATAGTAAGTTACTTGAACTATCAGGAAACTGATTTTTAACTGCCTTAACTACTTTACTACAACACATTTTGTATTTGTTCTAAAAAATAAACTTTGAAATTAAAAGATAATGTGTAAAAATTACCTATTTCTTTACTAATAATAATAGCTAAATCAGGTATATAACACAAGGGGCTCAACATTTTAGCAAAACATAGACAGTTAGTTTTCTATCAGAATATATGTAAAGAAACGCTATGCGCATGCGCACTTTTAGGTGATCTGTTAAACCTGCTTGCAATCCCTCACCCAAGTAAGTTTACGAACTAGAGTCAAGGTGAGCGAGGCATTAAACGAACACCAGGTTCACTTACCCGGGTGAAGATTCACCATGAAAGCAAGTATAAGTTCGACTGTCGAACACATCATACCTACGACTGTCGAACACATCATACCTATGCAAAAAATAATAACAAGTGATCTGTATGTACAAAAACCAAACGTATGCCTCAACTGTTTTATTGTGATGAATTGAAATAAACTTGCCTTATCTAAACATTGCTTTTGTGTTGCTAAAAACCTTATAAAAAACAAAAACAATATTTATAAATACTTTTCCTCGTGTTTTCCTTTACAATAACCAAATACATATCTATTGAATTCCGAATATTTATTTTTATCTCTACACGATTTCTCCACTGAAAGTATAACTCTTCCAGAAGACTCCCAAAGTCTTATTCTGAGTTTTTAAGAGAAATTAAGACTTATAATAAATATCCACAAGATTAAATATAATACGTTATCTTGTTTTTGGCCATGTGCTTGTTGGATGCAAATGAATATACAAATAATAATAATAAACAAATATCTGACATGTATAAAAACTATATGTAGATTTATTTTAGTTGGCGGTTAGTTATAAAATAAATAAAATCATGCTTACCAGTTTATTGAAAACGACATTATAAAACTTGGAAGGTATACCTCCAACATAAAATGGGGGCTTTAAATCCAAAGCCGCTTCAAATTCTCCGTTATAATTTAAATTTTCTGTATTATCTATTACTAGTTTTCCATTTTTTTCATCCCTACTAAGCTGCACCAAATGTAATTTATCATCATTGTATTTATTATTTGTTTTTATTAATACAGGGCCTTTAGATGTGTTAAACGTAAATATTAAATATCCGTCCTTAATTAACAATGCTAAATACTGATCGTTATTTGCCTGGTCAGATACAAACAAAATTATACCATTATTTTCTGCTGTTTTTATTTTTAAATCAAAATCGCATTGTTTTCTAAATTTGCCCCTAGGTACTAAATATTCCAGTCGACTTTCTTCTTTAATACCTAAAAATATTGTAGTGTAAACTTTTTTAAACTATTTTACACATAATATGTAAGCTAATGATAAACCATTCAACTTGTTTGAAACATGCATATGATTTGTAGGGTTGAATAGTTTTTTAATTATAGTCTGCAAGTATAATTTAAAAAAACTATTCAACTCTACGAATCATAGAAAAAGATGGATGTTTCAAACAAGTTGAATGGTTTGTTTATCATAAGCTTAACTTTTTATCAATCCATTTAAAAGTGATTACCAAATAGTTTATGACTTACCAAATCTATATCCATTACTTTCTCCCTCATAAGTTGGCTCCAAAGGTAATGCACAACCAACTTTAAGTGGTGGCTTGGATGTAGATGGTTGGTATTCATCTATTTTAGTTGCTGAAATATTATGACCGAAGGAAGGAACAAAATCATGACCACCATCCCCGCGAGATTTACCCCCTACAAAAACAAAAAAAAAATACTACTTTGATTTAATTATATTCTAAACTTACTGTCTTTGAAAGGATTGCCTGTAGTAAGCTCAGGTTCTAAGGTGGTTCCAAAATCCCAATCGGGTAAAGGAGGTAGAACTGGCACTATAAAATATAACTTTGTATTATAAAGTTTACAATTAAATTAGAAGGTAAATTAAAAATTAGAATTAGAATTAAAAGTTATATAAATTTACGTTATTTTTACTATTATTTAGTTTCGAAATAAAAATTAAGACTTTTATGACAAAATAATTGAAGATGAATTATTGTTTTCACAGATATTTTTCACCAAAGAAATGGCCGAAAAGACATTATCAGTACAAAAAGTTGAAATAATAAAGCTTATTATTTATTTAGGGCTAATACGCAGAATCCTTTAGGTATTATGATAAATACTATCCATTATGCTATGGGACTGAGGCTTTAGAAATTTGGATTCGAAGTATTTTATTTTATGGCGATAAGGACATCCCCAAATAACAGATCAAGACAAGTTTAAGGTCTTATCTCTACGTTTGTATCGCCAAGATTTGAAACGACACGTCGCGACGTCAACATGTCAATGCTCACACATTTCGGGAAATTCTGGGGGTTATTTTCTGTTCGTGCTGAAATTAACACGATTTTAAAAAACGAACAAAAAACACCAAGACCAATTTTTGTTTATTTATTATACCGGTCTCGGTATTCTATAAATTTTACGCGCTACATGTACCTACATGCCTGCAGGCAGAAAAATTTTCAATAAAGCCTTTTAAAAAATGCTTACACATTAACTTTTGGTTAATTTTGCAACTGAGCTATTGTTTAAAAACCGACGATTTCGGCAACACAAACGGATAAAAAAAAGAAGTATATGAGGACCTTTATTCTACAATGAGGAATTGCATGATATGCCGCCAAGATGATATCATCTGATTTCTGTATGGTTAATTCGATTTTTTTACCACACCTACAATTCCATTATTAATTATTCTCCATTAACTTTTATAATTTCTACTTTTTATTGTATTGTTAGCCTTTCTGCAGCCATTGGCAGAAGAGACAAGGCTTTAAGTAAATTTAATAAAACAAAACTGCCGATTCATTGTTCATATTAGAAGCAGCTTCGAAATTATACAAATTAAAGCTTAATTAATGAAAAAAGAGTACATCTTAGAAGTTTTGTTGACAATAATAACAAATCTGATTTATGAAAAAAAACGAAATAAACTTAATATTGCTAAAACAAAATATATATGAATTCTTACGGATGCCGATAAAATTAATGAGTATTTTGTAAATTCAGTAAAATCTATTTAAGCCCCAGATGACAAAACCATACATTTTTACAAAAATATTATTTTACCCAATGTAGGTATTTTTAAATTTAGCTACGGAAGAAGAAGTACACAAAGGCATAGAAATACTACAGTATTGTTTATCTTATTAACTTCAACTGATGACATTTTACGGGCGGCAGATGAAATAAGTTAACTGTTCTTGTCCTGCTTGATTACTTCAAGGCATTTGATCGTATAGATCACAACTTATTATTATCTATCTTAAAATAAATTTTAGGAGAGGTATTCATAACATAAATTTTAGACATAAAAACACTACACAAAGACAAAATGTTTAAAAGATCTTTTACTTTTAATATTTATAAATATTACAACCGTATATCAGGTATGAAATAAGGGACTCAACTCAAAAGATACACTAAAAGTGTTACAAGTTTCCTAAAACCCCCCTATATATATATATATATATATATATATATATATATGTTTCAATAAAAACCCCCAGGCCAATTATTTCTAAAACTAAAAGTGACATTTAAATTCTGTAAACGTCAGTTTTTAGCCTCTATGATTGGCTTCACAATTGGTTTTTAAATAATACAAGATGTAGGTGGCCGGCCATTCCAAGCCCATGGACAGGACACATCAGAAACATGTCTAAATATATTCTTGTTACTTCCTTAAGTTTACTTATTTTTTCTACGAGTATTTATGAGAAGTATTAGCCAAATTTGGTGTTTTCCAGGCGAGTGGGTACCCTGTGTTTGGTGAGGTATTGTAAATGGTTACATAGTCGGGCCCTATTTGTACCATGAATATTTAACTTCAGTTCGTTATTTACAATTTGTGCAAAACGATCTAACTTTACTGTTACAAAATTTGGGAATTGACGTAAATTCTATGTGGTTTCATCAAGACGGTGCCCCAGCACACAATAGCAATATCGTTATGAATCATCTAAATGACGTTTTCAGGAAAAGTGATCAGCACAAATGGGGATCTTAGACGGCCAGCAAGGTTCCCTGACTTTTATTTATGGGGCGGCTTACAAAATGAAGTCTACAAGAAACCAATAGAAGACATGGCTGACCTGTATAACAAAATCTATGTTACTATAGCCGCTATTAATCAAAATACACTATTGAGAGTTTGCAGAACCGAATTATTATATCGATTTGACATGTGTGTATAAAAACGGCAATAATTTTGAACACCTCATTCGACCTTATTAGTTAGTTTTTGGTATATTAATTTTGTATAATTTCTCACCAGTTCTTTCATAAAATTTAAAACATCCTTTAATTTTATTTTATTATGCTTTAATGTTTTACCTTTGTTTTTAAAAAGCAAAAATATAGCTTATTAATAATTTATGGTTTTGTTTCTTAATGATTTTTGTTTTCCAAATGGTTTTATTTTTATTTCTCGAAAACGAAGCAAGATATGAAAACAATTTAACAGACAAAAAAAAGGTTATTTTTAGTTGCTTATTCCGAAAAAAATATAAAAATTACCAGAAACTCAGTGGCGTATTATTTTTTGCCAATATAATTTGTTAAGGGGCCCCTTGAGGCGTCACTGGAGTCCAGTGACTGGACGTAATAATTTTAATCTAGTTAGCGCTACACGAGCGTTTTATCACCATAATTATGATTACCAGAATTAAATGAACATCTGCTAAAGCATATTAAAAATATTTATACTTAAAATTATTAAAAAAAAACTTAACCCCAAATATCTCCTTTCATGTTAGATTTATCAAAAATTTGTATGGGACATAATTTGATCAAAAATTAATTTAAAAGTTTCTGCCATCGAAAAAATTCTTTTCACAGTGGCGCCACCTACATCTTGTATTAATCAAACAAATTTTTTACACAGTTGGGAAGGCAATCATAGAGGCTAAAAACTGGCGTTTACAAAATTTAAATGTCACTTTTAGTTTTCGAAATAATTGGCCTGGGAGTTTTTATTGAAACACCCTGTAATGAACATATAAATGATGGAAATTCATTTATTAATATTAATTAAAATTAAATGAATATTCATTCAAAATTAAATGAATATCCATTAAAGCAAAATAAAATTTAGAAAAATTATCAAAAATAAATAAAATTCGTTAAATTTAAATTTAAATAAATTTATCAAAAAATAAATTGAATCTATACCATTCAAAATAATTCAATACAAGTATCCCAAATCACGTTCGAGTACTCGTCAAAGTTAGTCGCATCTTCCCGTTTCACGTTCTTGAACCTTACAAACAGCAAAACTCACAATGATTGCTTATAAAGTGCAAATAGTCTGTAGTGTGGCAACTAGTATGTGTAGATCACCCTACGGTCAGGGAAGTGTTGAAGTGGAGGTGTAGAGTGACACCTTACGGGTGGTCGATCGCGGTCTAGCCACTCATTTGGATGCTTTTCACGAGACAAACAAAAGAGGTTTTACAAGGGAGGAGAGGCCAATCTGCAATTCCCGATAAGTAATCTTAAACATCTGCATGACCTAATACATTATTTGCCATCACGATAGATACCTTGAAAAACCTTAAATGAGGCACTTTTCGCTTAAACGTGAGAAAATCTAACAAAAAAAAATAACAAAATAAAAAAAAAATAAAAATAAACAAAGTTCACCAGTAACATTAAGACAATAGTAACAAAACAACATAAAAAATAACAAAACAAAACCGCCCCAACTCTTAACTCGGCCACAGGAGAGCTGACTAGGACAATAAATCTATCAATAACAAACGACCAAGACTAAACCCATAAATTAAAGAAAACGGCCCCAACATACAAAACGTTAAACGAAACGATACCAAATAAACACTTTAAATCAAAACGAACATTACATTAAGAAAACATAAACACATAATATAAACACACAAACCGAATTCTAATGGAATTTTTAATTAAATTAGTATACAGTGGAAGTCAAAAATACCTCCCACCGGTAACTGTCTAATCGCATCAAATGCACACCAACTATTTAATACAAAGATAGGATTGCAACGCGAAAGAAAACCGAAGCCGAGACAAGACAATACCAAGTGCAGGAACAACCCAACACGGACAGAGACAATAACGGTCAAGACGTTGACCACGACCAATAAACTAGGCCCCTGCAGCGAACTAACAACTCCCCAACTCCAAACAGTAATCCCAAATGTTTGGAGTAATACTAACTTCCCGGTCTAGGGGAATCCCGCGTCGTACTTAGATTTGATTCGGCGTAATTGTCCCCCAAACATCAAACTGTCTATCCCTCCCGGGGAATGGCTATTAAAACTATTGGCATTTCGCTCTCGAGACCCAAATAAGGTACAGTACGGGACGCTATGGACATTCGCACCCAGCAAGCACGGGTAAACCCGTGTCGGTGCTGGTGGCGGAAAAAAATTGGCGTAAGGTAACAGAGGCCTGTGTGGGGACCGGGAGTGATGAGGCAATAGTTCCGGTTATACGTCTCTTGTACTCATACTCACATTAAAACCGTATCCCAAATCAATTAACTAATTTAAACATAAACTTCGTTCGGTTGGATAATTTCTAAAATCGTTAGTATAGAGTATACTTTGTAGATAAAACTAAGCCATTATAGAAGAAACGAAAGTAAAAAACATGATGACTAAAATTAAATTTTTCAACTTTGCAAACGGATTTGACGGCTTCCCTGATACTTATCTTGTACCTGACTGTAACTTTACAGTCCGTTATAGATTCGCTAACCTTGCTAAAAAGCAATGCTGCGGCTCATGAAGAGGACGCAGTAGCTTACGTAAAAACAAGACTTACAGGAAAAGCGAGCGATTTA